GCAGGGGAAGCTAAGCTACACAAGGGTGAAACACCTAAACTAGAGTACACATGGTAGTAAGATCCATCAACACTAGAAGCGTCAGCATACAAAGCATGCAAAGCAGCACCTATCTGATCCATGTCTAACTCAAAGATCGGCACGCCCTGGCGGAGCAGGCTGTGCCAGTCAGGGAGGTCCGGGGCCGGGCCAAAGCGACGACGAAAAAGATCGTCGAGGCGGCGGAAACAGTGGGCGGTCGGGTGCGGGCGGCGGCACAGAGTGCCGCGGAGAGGCCCGGTCTGAAGCTGGTACTGGCAGGTCACAGCACTGGAGCCGCTGGTAGACGCCAAGCTGCGCGGGCCGCCACCACGGCCACCGCCTCCGGAGGTGCCGGGCCAACCAGGCGGGAGACGAGCCCACGGCTGCGGCGGGTGCTGCTGGGACGGCGGCTGCGGCTGGGGCTGGTCCTGCTGCTGCTGGGACTGCTGCTCCTGCCCACCGGTGGTAGTCCCCTCAGGCGGACTACCGTCACCACCACCACGACCACTACCACCTGCGTCACCACCCCTACCTCCCTGGCGGCCACGGCCACCGCGACGCGAGCGCTGCTGCGGGTGGACAGCAGCAGCCGTCTCGGTAAGAGGGGTCGCCGTGGCGACCGCAGCCGAAACGTCAGTGAACGTGCACGGGGATGGGGCACAACCGTGAAAGATAGAGACTGCCGGCGCACCGCTCGACTGAGCGATAGTGCGCTGGCGAGTCTCGATCTCAGTGAGGGTGTCGACAAAGGCGGTCAGGGTGAGGTCACCCGGGTGCTGGCTAAGAAAGTGGTCGCGAGCACTAGCGAGGCGGTCTGGCAGGCGCATAGCGATAAAATAGAGCGTCATGCAGAAAGGAGGGGGGAGCGCAGTGAGCTGGGCAGCAGTGCTGGCAGTGCGATAGCGAGTCTCTAGGGCACGCAAATGAGTGGCAAAATCTGCGACAGTAGGGAAGGCAGCCAGGTCTGGGAACAGCATCGGAAAGAGCAAGCGGCCAGCAGAAGCGGAGGCAGGGGTGGAATAGCGAGCAATAACGGCGTCTAAATAAGCTTTGGCCGTTTCAACAGTAGCAAAACGCGAGCGCTCAGACACAGGGAGGGCGTGACTAATAGCAACCTGAGCTACTGCATCGCGTGAGTCCCAGACCGCACAGCAGCGCAGCAGTAGAGAAAGCCTCACGGTCATCAGAGGAGGGGTCAGCAGGGAGGGGAGTAGGTGCAGGGGGACGGGGGAGCAAGCCATCAGCATGGACAACCAGAGAGTGGCCATCCTGGCGCTGACCTGTAAGCTGGCGGCGAAGATCGGAGAGCCAGGCGGCGAAGTCAACCGCGTGGCCCTCAGCGTCCAGGCGGAGCACAAAGTCAGCCATCGTGCAGGGTCAGCGGCACAGCTCCTCAGCGACACAGCGGCACAGCAGCACAGCTCCTCAGCGGCACAGGAGCACAGCGGCGCGGGGACACGGCGGCAGCACTCTCCAGTAGGGCAGCAGCTAGGCGTCCCAGCGCAGGCAAGCAGAAGACACAGGGCCCGAGAGGACACGGCAGGCCGAGCAGGGGAGGCGGGCAGGTGCTCTAGGGGGGCTGGTGCTGGGAGGGGCCAGGCTGGTGCTGCTGGGGCCGGTCGGGCACGAGGAGGGGCCGGGCAGCGCTGAGGAGAGGCCGGGCGGCGCTAGGAAGGGGCCGGCGGCACTAGGAGGAGGCCGGGCGGCACTAGGAGGAGGCCGGGCGGCACTAGGAGGAGGCCGAGCGGCACTAGGAGGAGGCCAGGCGGGCGAGCGCTAACAGCAGGCGCGACAGGGGCCAGCGGGCGCGACGGGGCCTAAGGGGCGCGACGGGGCCCAGCGGGCACGACGGGGCCCAGGGGGGCGCGACGGGGCCGAGGAGGCGCGACGGGGACCAGCGGGCACGACGGGGCCCAGGGGGGCCGCGACGGGGCCTAACGGGCGCGACGGGGCCCAGGGGGGGCGACGGGGCCTAGCAGGCGCGACGGGGCCTAGGAAGCGCGAAGGGGCCCAGCGGGCGCGACGGGGCCTAGGAGGGGCGCGACGGGGCCGAACGGGCGCGACGGGGCCCAGAGGGGGGGACGCGACGGGGCTTAGGAGGCGCGACGATGCCTAGGAGGCACGACGGGGCTCAGCGGGCTCGACGGGCCCATGGGGGGGCGCGACGGGGCCTAGGAGGCGCAACGGGGCCCAGCGGGGGCGCGTTAGGGCCTAGGGGTCGCGACGGGACCCAGTGGGCACGACGGGGCCCAGGGGGGGCGCGACGGGGCCTAACGAGCGCGACGGGGCCCAGGGGGGCGCGACGGGGCCTAGGGGGCGCGACGGGGCCTAGGAGGCGCGACGGGCGGAAGCGGTAGGCGGGGGGATCCTAACCTAAGCATGATACCATGTAAACGTAGAAACGAATAATTACTAGAGGTGGAAACCTAGAACAAATACTAGTTGGTTGTACTCACTAGAAGCATACCTCAGTCTAGCCTATAACTTCTACATAGATAATATGTATAAGTTGACAACACCTCCCATGACCAACTCTCCCATCTCCACCCCTCCATCACCACCTTTTGCCAAATCCCAACCACCCACCCTTCCCTTCTTTCACAAATTGCTCATATCCCTCCGCTCCCTCCTCATCCTCCCCATCAGCATGTGGCGCTAAGAGCTGTACCTCCAGGCTGGCAAGCAAAATGAGAATGGCGCCAGTGGCAGTGGAGGTGCTAAGTGTTTCTCCTAGCAAAAAGAATGCCAGGAGGCTGCCCCAGAGGGGCTCATGGTGAGAATGAGCGTGGCCGTCGATGCTCGAACAAACCGAAGCGCCTCCATCTCAAGCCACTCGCACATGCCTGCAGATAGTTACAGCCATGGTGGGGGGGGAGGGGGGAAGTAGGTGGAAGGGGCAGAGGGGAGGGAAAAAATATGGGGAGAAAGGGAATGGCAAGAAGGCTGGATGAGAAAGGAACGCAGGGGCAACAGGGTTCGACACACTCCACGCTCTAGAAGCCAGGACCAACGACGTCACACCTGTCCCCTCTACCTGTGCCAAACGGCCCTGCCAGCAGCGCCATGCCGATGGGGGCGGCTGCAGCAACCGCAACCAGCTGGTTCCACGCCACCACTGCGCCACTGCTGTCCATCCCCCCCACCGCGCCCCCCCCTGCAGTGAAGGCAATGGCGGCGAGGGAGAGAAGCACCCACACCACCCCAATGGCTGCCGTGGTGGCCAGCTGAAGGATAACGAGGATGAGCGGATCGAAGCGCGCGCACAGGACCTCAGATCGCACCTGGTGTAGGGAGGGGGATGGGAAGGGTTGGAACAGGAACGGGGGGAGAGAAATGAGATGGCAGGGCAGGAGAGAAGCACCCACACCACTGCGATGGCTGCCGTGCTGGCGAGCTGGAGAATCACGAGGATGAGCGGGTCGAAGCGGGCACACAGGACCTCAGATTGCACCTGGTGTACGGGAAGGGTTTGGAAAAGCAATGAGATAGCAGCGCGGGAGAGAAGCACCCACACCACTGCGATGGCTGCAGTAGTGGCCAGGTGAAAAATTTCGACGATGAGCGGATTGAAGGAATGGCAGAGCGCACAGCGCAAACTAGGCACCACACGTGCCTCTCAGGCAGGCTCCTCCAATGCCCCGGTACTGATTGATGGTGGACTGACCCCATGGATGTACGCCACATGCACTGATGCATGTTGGATGCACACCACACTACTCGAATGCCCCACTCACCACTTGGTTTGCAGAGCCCACGGCCCCAACGAGGCACCACACGTGCCCCACCGGCAGGCTCCACTGCACCGGCACCAGTGCATGGCGGACTATATGTATGTTGCATGCATTGCGATGCAATAATAGAAGGTTCACCCACCACATGAATTGCAGAGCCCACAGCGCCTACGAGGCACCACACGTGGCCCACAGGCAGGCTCCACTGCACCGGCACCGACGCCAGCACTGCTGCTGCCGTGTCTGCAATGACGTCAGCGGATGCTGATGCTGTGGTGGCGATGACGTCACCAGGCGTGGCTGCTACTGCGACAGCAGTAATGGTCTCCCCCCCCTCCAGCAACACCATGCCTGTGCATGTGGGTGTGGGTGTGGGTGTGGGTGTGGGTGTGGGTGTGGGTGTGGTGCATGCACAGGGTCGCTTGGACACGAGATTAATGAGTGAAACATACAGTGGTAATTCGTTCAGTGACTCGGTGACTCAAAAGCTGTTGCAACAGCAGCGATGGTCTCTCCCCCCTCGAGTAACACCATGCATGTGCATGGAGACACAGGAAGATGGCTAATAAAGAGATATGACTCAGTATCAGAGGAGATATATTGGCAGGGCAAAACTTGCAGACTACCCTGTTGACTGCTACAGTCATTCCAGTTTTGACGGCCCATCCACCACCACTTTTGCCAACAACCAGGAGGGATGGGATGCGGAGTAAGAGGGATGGGTGTGATGCGGTGAGAGGGGGTGGGCGTGATGTAGCGAGATGGATATGGGTGTGATGCGGTACATATGGGTGCAAGCGATGTGAAGGGAATGGGTGTCAGATGTGATAAGCATGGATGCACTGGGACAGGGGCCGAAAAGGAGAGTGCACTGGCGCATCCACGTGGCAGAGAGGCAAGGCAACAAAAGAATTCGGAGGAAGAAAATCGAGGGAGAAGGTGGGGGGAGAGCGTACCAGTGCACGCCAGGAGCGTGGCGATCCACACGCTGCGGTTGATGGGCGTGCCTGAGAGGGCCTCCAGGAACGGCACCAGCACCACCTGGAGTGCAGAGGGGCATAAAGGGGTGCAGTGGGGCATGAAGGGGTTGCACGCACATGATCAGAGAGAGAGAGATGCGCTGCACACTTAGATCCACAAGCTGCAGTTGATGGGCGTGCGTGAGAGGGCCTCTGGAAACGGCACCAGCACCACCTGGGGTGTCAGTGAGTCACACACGCATGACGCCACTGATCACACACAGTTCATTCCAGCACACGCCACACAATCCGAGACGAGCAAGCGCATCACGTGGCTGGTAGGCAATCAGGCCAGGGAAAAAGGGCAAACATGGCGCAGCGGGGAAGAGGAGCTGACAAAGGGTGCAGGGGGGAGAGGAGAGGAGGAGGATGGGGGTATTGGAGGGGGAAAAAGGGGGGGAGAGGGGAGGGGGGCCGCTTATATCGTACCGAGATGGTGAGGATGAGGGCGGCATCGTCAGCGGAGGTGGTCTCCAGTCCGATGGCCTGCCCCGCGTACGTCACGAACATCCACGCGCCCAGCTCCACGCCCCCCACCACCATCGCCCACCGCTCCCGCCGCTCCCTCTTGCTGCCCCCGACCATCGACTCCCACAGCCCAGCCAGCCCCTCCTTCGCCTCCTGCTTCTTCCGTTTCAATTTTCCTTCCTCCGGCTGTGGGTCCGTTTTCCCCTGGCCGTTGCTGCCCCTACTGCTGCTGGTGTCGCCACCGTCAGATGCGCCCTCCCCCAGAAGAGCCATCATGGGGTTGGTCAGTCCGGTGTTACCCCACGTGTCCCACGCCGCATCCCACGAGTCCCGGATGCTTCCGAGCACCTTCTCGCCCCAAGTCTCCTCCCGCCTCTTGAGTGTCAGCTCGTGCTGCCGCCTCGCAACTTGCCTCACTAGCGCAAACCCTCCCAGCCCAATCGACGCGAACAGGAATCGAATAGCAAACTCCACACTTGTATCGAGACTCCCAAAAAGGGGATACGCAGCTGCACCTGCACCGAACACACCCTCCCCAAATAACCCACCAAAAAACCCACCCCGGATCACGTCACTCACTACCTCCCCCATAGGGGCAGAAATCGCCTCCCCCACCGCCGCGCCCACCGCAGTCACGGCGGCCGCGCCAGCCGCTACTCCCCCCACCTCCCCCCCGCGCCTCCCCCCCCGTGCAACTCCTGCATGAGCTTGACAGTGACGGCGGTGGCGGCGTAACCGAAGGCGAGCACGTTGAGCAGCATGACCGCCTGGTCCTTCGTCAGATTGATGCTGTACGGGGGGGGTTGCTCCGGCTCGTAGGCGTCTTTCGACAAAAAGGTTCGCCGAACCCAGAAGGCGAAGTCTGCTAACGGGCCGGGAGGGATTCTGGGGATCGACCGCGGGAGGTGGGCGTCGGCAGGCCGCCGCTGGTCCCTGTGGGGCTTGTGGTGGTGGCCGTGCGGGTGGTTGTGGTGCTGGCGATGGCGATGGTGATGGTGATGGGAGAGATGGTGGTCCAGGCTGTCTTCCCCGTGCTGATGCCGCTTATGATGCTTGTGATCCTCATGGTGGTGATGCTCCTGATGGTGGTGGTGATGGTGCTTGTGAGGCTTGTGATGCTGATGGTCCGCGTCATGGCTGTGGCTGTGGTGGCTGCTGTGCTTGTGATGGTGCTGCTGCTGATGCTGCTGATGGTGGCCGGATTTCTCGTCATGATGCCAATGGTGCTTCCCGGGCTGATGCTCCTCGTCGTGACTGTGATGCCCATGGCTATGGCTACGTCCATGGTTATGCCCATGGCTGTGGCTATGGTCATGGCGGTGTGATTCATGGTGTGAGTGTCCGTGCCGGTTCTTGTGATGCGAATGCCGGGACGAATGCTCACCGTCGGATTCCTCATCGCTCGAAGCCCTGTGGTGGTGGTGGTGGTGGTTCGGGTGTTGGGAGTGGTGGCCCTGGTACCCGTGGCTGCCATCCGCGTGCTCCTTGTGCGCCTTCTTCCGTTTCTCCCACCACCGGTCGGCGCTGCTCAGCACTCGAGACACGCCGCTGGACCAGCCATGACCGTTCGAATCGTTATCACCAGGCCTCCCGCCATTCTGAGGTCCCATGGCAGTAACTCGACGTTGGGATTCGCCTTGTCTTAAAAATCGACGATTTCGTTTTTGTAGCAGTAGACTGTAAGGATCCCGCCTGCTGATTGCTACGCTTCCAGGCGTGAAGGTCGATTTTGCAATTTGCATAACCATAGCGGAATTTGAGTCTACCGCGGCTCCCGCTACATTAGTAGACTCGGTAAGCGGTGCGATGGACCCACTTTTCACGACACGGAGGGCCATGATAGCCCTTGTCCGAAAAAATGCGTGAGCAGCAGAATTTAGTCACGCGACCTTCTTCCAAGTGAGGCTAGGGTACAAGAAAACTGACAATGGACTCTACCCTCACCCTAACCGGGAAGCTTGCACGTCAGACTGACGGAGGGAGGGACGGCACTCCAAAAGAAATGAATCGAATTTATGAAGTGGCGCAAGGAGGAATGAGGAACGAGTAGTGTAAATGATCTCCAGCAAATACCTGGGCCAGGTTCGGTGAGGATGAGAAGAGAGAGAAGTGAAGCGAAGAGGGGAGGCGAGGAGAGAACTGGCGGATTCAGTGTACTGCTGGGGAAATTGTCAGGTGTGCGCTGACAGGCGAAACCCGAGGCTCGCTCGAGGCCCTTGGCTTGGGGGGACTTCTCCCGCCAAGGAGGAGACCAACCAACCAAGGACAAGAAAATATCGGGGCTGTTGATGCGGAACGGCCCTTGATTGGACGAGAGTGTACTGGCAACGGATTCTGTGCCCTTGCGGGGGAAGTGATTGGGCGTGCGCAGCTGGAATCGCGGAGCCTTGACGCGATCAACTCGAGGTTGGTGGATAGAGGTGGTTGAGGAGAGGGGCCAATACACGACCTCCATGCCGTGTTGGCGAATCGTCTCGTCAGCACCGTCAAGAGCTCTCAGGAGGACGAAAAAGGTTCGAAGCAACAAGGCTGTTGGTGCAGTGACTCAGCCCCACGTCAGCTAGAGGACGCTTATGGCGGTTCACCTGACATTGGTGATAATTTTCTGGAACTTCATGTGTAGGACCTTGGCTAAATTGTCTAGGACCACAAATAAGATGTTATACACAACGTATCTCAGGCTATTCCTCCTTAGTCTTGCTCCCATTATTGGCCATCACACTACAGTTTTTTCAAGGACTAAGGGACGGAGCGCGGCGACCCCTCCCCTCCCCCTCAATCTCCCTGTCAATCGACCTATCCCTCCAGCTCCTCTTCCCCTCCCGCCTTCTCCCATCTCTGCTCCTCTCCCCTCCATACGCCCCACTCTCCCCTCCACCCCCAATCGATCCCTCCCTCTGCCTCTCCCTCCCACCAAAATGATGATGCATCCGCCTGTGATGCTCGTCCCCATGCGAACCCCTCTCCTCATCCTCCTCCTCATGCCCCCTATGCGGCCGCCCCGAAAGCTGCCGGCTAAACTCCCTCCTAAACCCGTGCCGCTCCCTCCCCTCCCTCACAAACCCCTGCCCCTCCCGATCTTCCGCCTCAGACCCCTCCTGGGACCCCTGCATATTCTGCCCCTGTGGCTGCTGCTGCCGCCGGTCCCTCTCCCTCTCGCGCTCCCGCTCCCGTTTAAGTGACCCCCGCTGTTGTTGCTGCTGCTGCCCTTGCTGCCCCAGCTGCTGCTGCGAGTGCGGGGGCGGGAACTGCTGCTGCGAGCGCTCTGCCTCTAGCACACCTGCCTTGAAGCGCGAGAGCTCCTGCACCTCCGCATCCCTCAGCTGCAGCTGGCGCTGCAGCTTGTACACCTGAGAGGGGGAGACAGAGAGAGAGAGGGGGGAAAAGGGGCATGTGTGGGGGAGAGAAAAGAGAGCGCAAGAGCTCCTACACCTCCGCATCCCTCAGCTGCAGCTGCCGCTGCAGCTTGTACACCTGGGGGGAAGAAGGCGGGGGGGAGGGGGGGAGCTGAGGTGGAAGGGAAGGGAGGGGGAAAGCTTCTGCACCACATCCCTCAGCTACAGCTGGCGCAGGAGCTTGTACACCTGGGGGGGAAAAGTGGGGGGTGGGGGGGGAAGCTGAGGGGGAGAGCTCCTGCACCTCTGCGTCCTCAGCTGCAGCTGAGAGGATGGGGGTGGGACAGACTGACACGTCAAAGCCTATTCCAAGCATGCCGCGTTTTCAAGTCACACACACACCAGACTTGACACATGGCAGCATGCACATCCCTCACTATTGCCAACCTCAACATTCACCGTCTGACCCTCTGTGATTCACCCCCTTCGCCAACTTCTCTGCCTCCTTGTTGATCTCATCCCCATACTCCTGGCAGCTCTGGCAATGGCGCACAGCAGTGGCACACAGTTACACCACTCGTACACATGCATGCAGCAGAAGCCTTACTGGTTTCTCAAGGGACTCACCGTCTCCTCCAGCTTCTCTGCCTCCTCATTGATCTCATCCACGTACTCCTGCAGCTCTGCCCATGGCGCACAGCAATGGGGTTGGGACATAGGGGGGGAAAACCACAACGGAAGAGAGGAAAGGGAGATGTTGAGGCATCTCAGAAGTGCAGGGGACGCAATGGAATAACGCGACTGGATGGAAACAGAGAGGAAACGCAGAAAGTTTGAACACTTCTTTCGCAGTGCGGCACATCACAGCAGGAGAGAAAGAGGCCAGATGAGGAGGGAATGACAGCAAAGACAAGAACAAGCATCGCCTCTAGGCCTGCCTGCCCCGATACGGAAGCCTGGGGCAGACAGAAGACACTCAGTTCGACCCTCTCTGAGCGTCAGCCATACCCATACCTTGGTAGCCTCGTTTGAGCTCAGAGTTGAGTTGCTTCTGCAGGGCGAGCTTGTTCTCCAGCTCGTGCACCTGCCAGGCAGGCAGGCAGGCAGGCAGGCAGGCAGGCAGCCGGACAGCCAGATTCAACAAACAGGGGCATGTGCAAGGGTGCTTGATTCCATGCCAGTTAAATGGACGGGGGACGGACGGGGGCACATGACAGCTATTTCTGCAGGGCGAGCTGGCTCTCCAGCTCGGCACCGGGCAGATGCCAGGCAGGCAGAAGGTTGGGGGCGGGCAGAAGGGATGAGGGATGCGCCGGATTGCCTACTGAACATCGCCACACCATCTAAGAGGAAAAAACCTTTCCACCTACCCCAGGTCTCACCTTCCCCTCAGCCGCCTCCCTCCCGATGTCCTCGTTCTCCTCCTGCAGTGTGCGGCACTTGGCCATCAGCATCTTGCCGTTCTTGCTGTGTGGCGTGAACTGCACCGCTGCCAGGTCGTCCTGCAGCTCCCGCACACGCCGCTCCAAGGCTTCGCTCTCGGTCTAACGGGGTGCGTGGGTGGGGGAAGAAGGGTGGGTGGGAGATATGGACGGTGAGGCAAGAGTGAACTGCACCGCTGCCAGGTCGTCCTGCAGCTCCCGCACACGCCTTTCCAGTGCCTCGCTCTCGGCCTGAGGGGGCAGGGGGCGGGTGGGTGGATGGGGGGTGGGAGTAGGCAGTGAGAAACGGAAGGTGAGTCAACGGTGAACTGCACCGCTGCAAGGTCGACCTGGAGAGCTCCAACACCCGTCTTCCTCATTCGTCGATAATCTCAGTCTAAGGGGGCGGGTGGGTGGGTGTGCAAGTGGAGAAGATCAGGTGCAAGGGATAGCAGCGCCCAGCAAAAGGAAGCAGAGGGCGACGCACACGAGCAAGGGGTGCCTGCCTGACAGCCTCATCTCGCCACTAAAACAGCGCGAGATGAGGCTGGCGCATGCCATGAGCTGGTTCTTGAGAGTCATTCCTCACAGCCAACCTTATCTCGCCATAACAGAACATGCATAACACGGCAGCATGCACATGCCATTGCCTCACCTTGAGTCTTTTGAATTCGGCGTGAATGGCAGCATCCAGCAGCAGAGAGCGAGTCTGGCGCGTGGCAGGGGGTGGGATGGAGAGGAGGAGGGGAGATATGGCAAAGACAGGCACACCAAGGATACCACCAGACAGGGAAACCGAAAGGTAGCGTGGCGAGAGTGAGAGGGAGGGATGGGGCTGCAAAACTGTACCCACCCTGCATGCCTAGACTGTACTCATGTTCCAGAGGTTCCAGGAATAAACGGAGTGGTTGAGAGAGGTGGAGCTGGCATGGAGAGACACAAGAAAGAGAGGGTTCTGGGACCCTAGACTGCAGCCAGGAATTGGTTGTCAGGCACACCCGACCCCCTGTGCGCTGGCAGGGTGCATGCTGTCCAACCAACACCTCCTGCACCTCTCACCTCTCACCCTCACCTCTCATCCTCACCTCTCACCCTCACCTCTCACCCTCACCTCTCACCCTCACCTCTCACCCTCACCTCACCCCCACCTACCTCCCCTTTCAGATGGGCACATGCTCTCACCCACCTGCGTGCTGGCAGGCTGCATGCTGTCCAGCACCTGCTGCAGCTGCTCCTGCAACACACAGAGGGAATAACCCACATTGTGGAATAACCCACCCGGAAGAAGGGAGACGGGGAATTACTGCGTGAGGGCCATGGAGCAACCCACATCGGACGCGGCCACCTGGAATGAAGCAGCATGCAGCGAGCACATCCATACCTCCAAAGCGACTTACTTCCTCCTCCAAGCCTTCCAGTCAATAAGCTCGGCCATGGGGTCAGCAGCTCGGCCATGGGGGTAATGGGTCGGGAATCAGCATGGGAGCCTCCCTTTTTCGCGAGGAAAGAGTGATGTGAACCAGATTCACCCATGCACACGAGTATACACACACTCATGCACACGAGTATACACACACCCATGCACACGAGTATACACACACCCATGCACACGAGTATACACACACACCCATGCACACGAGTATACACACACACCCATGCACACGAGTATACACACACACCCATGCACACGAGTATACATACACACCCATGCACACGAGTATACACACACACCCATGCACACGAGTATACACACACACCCATGCACACGAGTATACACACACACCCATGCACACGAGTATACACACACACCCATGCACACGAGTATACACACACACCCATGCACACGAGTATACACACACACCCATGCACACGAGTATACACACACACCCATGCACACGAGTATACACACACACCCATGCACACGAGTATACACACACACCCATGCACACGAGTATACACACACACCCATGCTCACGAGTATACACACACACCCATGCACACGAGTATACACACACACCCATGCACACGAGTATACACACACACCCATGCTCACGAGTATACACACACACCCATGCTCACGAGTATACACACACACCCATGCTCACGAGTATACACACACACCCATGCACACGAGTATACACACACACCCATGCTCACGAGTATACACACACCCATGCTCACGAGTATACACACACCCATGCTCACGAGTATACACACACACCCATGCACACGAGTATACACACACACCCATGCACACGAG